TCTGTTGGTTATTTTTAAAATAGCGACTTGTTCTTATGGATGACAGTGCTTCCATTTATGTCTTTAATCATTTTAAACAGATTCATTTTCTCCTTTCCATTAGGTTGTTATATTATTTGAGGTACTTTGGGGCTACTGATCTGCAGTTTTGCACCCACTTTTTCTCCCCGTGGAATCTTTTCCTTTTCTGTTTTATTATTTATTTACTTATTTATTTTTATGTTTTCGAGACAGAGTTTCACTCTGTCGCCCACGCTGGAATGCAATGGTGTGATCTCGGCTCATTATAACCTCTGCCTCCTGGGTACAGGCAATTCTCCTGCCTCAGCCCCCTGAGTAGCTGGGATTACAGGTGGGCGCCACCACATCCAGCTAATTTTTGTATTTTTAGTAGGGACAGAGTTTCACCATGTTGGCCGACTGGTCTCAAACTCCTGACCTCAGGTGATCTGCCCGCCTTGTCCTCCCAAAGTGCTGGGATTACAGGCGTGAGCCACCGCACCCAGCCGTGTTTATAATTCAGAGTTTAAGTGCAGCATCGGTGGAGCTTTACCTGTGTGGTCCTGTGTATCTCAGGTTTGGGATGTGGGCTTCCAAAGTATTTTTGTATTTGTTTCTGCCAGACACCAGAGACTGGGAAACATTTTTATGTCAACTTTTCATTGTAGCAGTTCTTGGTCCATGCAGGTCGTATGGTATGGCTCAGGGTTGTACATTTTTCAGGGGAGATATTTTTCTACCCAGAGGCCAGGCAAATAAATACATTCTTCGTTGTCAGCTTGTGCTAGTAGGTAGGTTTTTTTCTGTTCCACTTTTTACTAATGGTTCATCTCTTCAAGGCACAGGAGTTATGTAGAATATGACATTCCAATTCCTTGCCTCATGCAAGTCAAAGGAATTCATTGTGAAGCTAAACCATCATTAGATTGAAAGAGTTAAATAAAAACATTTATAGACAAAGAGTTACACAAATTTACTACCAACACATCCTTGTGGGCCAGACACTGTGGCTCATGCCTGTAATCCCAACACTTTGGGAGGCTGAGATAGGAGGATGGCTTGAGCCCAGGTGTTCGAGACCAGCCTGGGCAGCATAGCGAGACCCCATCTCAAAAAACCAAAAATTTGTTTAAATCCTTACTGAGAAAAAAAAGCAAAGGATGTTCATAAGGAAAAAGATATTTGAGCAAGGAAACAAGAGTTCAGATGGAAGACCTATGAGAACAAATATATTGGTAAATGTGTAAGTAAAGGTAAACAGGAATTTACTACATATTTTTAAGGATGGTTATTAAGGGGGCATTAAAACATAATGGAACTTCAGGTTATGAGTTGCATACAATAAAATAAACTAAAAAAGAACGACAAACACATAATGGAACTAAGATACTGGACAAAAACAGCATGTAAAATGGAGAAAATTAGATCAAATAGGATTAGAACTTAGGAGGGCATGTAATCAAAAGGGACTTTTGATAGTTTAGTTTCTGGTTAGTTTAATCCAGAAAATTTTATTTTCCCATTAACAAGAAATCCAGAAACAAGTGACACTTGGGTCAGTTAAGTTAGTGGTTCCTTAGTGCCATTGCAGACCCTCCGTCTTCCCCTCTGGCCTCTTTCTTTGATGCCTGGGGTAATGTGCCAACCCAATGTCTAGATTCCTTCCGTCTTTAGATCTCTCTTTGTTCAATCTATTGAGGGATTTCCATTTCTGATCTTGAAGTACTTTCTTCTGTGTATGCATGTATATTTTCCCCTAAATTGGAATCATGCTGTACGTTCCATTTTGTTACCTGTCCTTCTAAAAATATTCATCATTAAAACATTTAGCATAAATATAGGAAAGTCTCTAATTTCTTTTATTCTTTTTTTTTTTTTTTTTTTGAGATGGAGTTTCACTCTTGTTGCCCAGGCTGGAGTGCAATGGCATGATCTCGGCTCATCGCAACCTCTGCCTCCTGGGTTCAAGCAATTGTCTTGTCTCAGCCTCCCGAGTAGCTGGGATTACAGGCATGTGCCAACACGCCCAGTTAATTTTGTATTTTTAGTAGAGACAGGGTTTCTCCATGTTGGTCAGGCTGGTCTCAAACTTCCAACCTCAGGTGATCTGCCTGCCTTGGCCTCCCAAAGTGCTGGGATTACAGGCGTGAGCCACCGTGCCCGGCCAAAATCTTGATTTCTTATAACCAGAAAGGTGGAAGCTACTCAAGTGTCCATAAATGAATGAATGCACAAACAAAATGTGGTGTATCCATACAATGGAGTATCATTCAGCCTTAAAAAAGGAAGGGGCTGGGTGTGGTGGTGCATGCCTGTAATCACAACAGTTTGAGAGGCTGAGGTGGGAGGATCCCTTGAGCCCAGGAGTTTGAGACCAGCCTGGGCAGCATAGGGAGACCCTATTTCTATACAAAATTAAAAAAAAAAATTAGCTAGAGGCCAGGCTCGGTGGCTCACGCCTGTAATCCCAGCACTTTGGGAGGCCGACATGGGTGGATCACCTGAGGTCAGGAGATTGAGACCAGTCTGGCCAACATGGTGAAACCCCATCTCTACTAAAAATACAAAAAATTAGCTGGGCGTGGTGGCTCACGCCTGTAATCTCAGCTACTTGGGAGGCTGAGGCAGGAGAATTGCTTGAACCCGGGAGGTGGAGGTTGCAATGAGCTGAGATTGTGCCATTGCACTCCAGCCTGGGCAACAGAGCGAGACTCTGTCTCAAAAAAAAAAACAAAAAACAAAAAACAAAAACTTAGCCAGGTGTGGTGGCACGCATTTTTAGTCCCAGCTACTCAGGAGGCTGGCGTGGAAGGATTGCTTGAACCCAGGAATTTGAGGTTACAGTGAGCTATAATTGTGCCAGAGCACTCCAACCTGGGTGAGAGTGAGACCTTGTCTCTACAAAAGAACAAAAAGGAAGGAAATTCTGATGTGTGCTACAACATGGATGAACCTGATGGACATTATGCTAAGTGAAATAAGGCAGTCATGAAAAAAACAAATATGGTATGATTCCACCTATATGAGATATCTAGAATAGTCACATTCATAGAGACAGAAAACATAATAGTGGCTGCTAGGGGCTGAAGCTGTGAGGAATGGGGAGCTGTTGCTTAATGGGTGCAGTTTCAGTTTTGCAAGACAGAAAAGTTCTGGAGATTGGTTGCACAATGTGAATATACTTAACACCATTGGACTGTATACTTCAAAATGATTAAGATGGGCCAGGCCCAGGGGCTCACGCCTGTAATCCCAGTACTTTGGGAGGCCAAGGCAGGAAGGTCACTTGAGGTCAGGAGTTCCAGACCAGCCTGGCCAACATGATGAAACCCCCATCTCTATTAAAAATATAAAAATTAGCCGGGTGTGGTGGCCGGGTGCCTGTAATCCCAGCTACTCGGGAGGTTAAGGCAGGAGAATCACTTGAACCCTGGAGGGGGAGGTTGCAGTGAGCCGAGATCGTGCCACTGCACTCCAGCCTGGGCGACAGAGTGAGACTCCATCTCAAAATAAATAAATAAAATGATTAAGATGACAAACTTTATGTTATGTGCATTTTAGCAGAGTTTTTTTTTTTCATTTTATTTTGAGATGGAGTCTCACTGTTGTTGCACAGGCTGGAGTGCAATGGCATGATCTCAGCTCACTGCAACCTCTACCTCCCGGGTTCAAGTGATTCTCATGCCTCAGCCTCCCGAGGAGCTGGGATTACAGGCACCTGCCACCACGCCCAACTAATTTTTTTATTTTTAGTAGAGACAAGTTCGAGACCAATTGGCCAAGCTGGTCTCGAACTCGTGACCTCAGGTGATCTGCCCGCCTCAGCCTCCCAAAGTGCTGGGATTACAGGTGCGAGCCACCATGCCCAACTGCTTAAAATTTCTTTAGGGGAAAAAATTAGCCGGGCATGGTGGTGTGCGCCTATGGTTCCAGCTACTCAGGAGTCTGAGGTAGGAGGATCACTTGAGCCAAGAGGTTGATGCTGCAGTGAGCTAGGATTGTACCACTGCACTCCAGCGTGGGCGACAGAGTAAGACCCTGTCTTGAAAAAAAAGGGTAAGGGGGAGAAAAATAATCTTGATTCCTATTTTGAATGGGCAATACGTACACATGGTACCAAAATCAGAAAATGCAAAAAGGCATACAGTGTTTTCACTATGGACCTTCCCTGTCACCTAGTCTTCTCATCCGTCCCACAACCACCCATCTACTCATCATCTCCCTTGAGCATCAGTTGACACCCCTGTTTTTTTTTTTGAGACGGAGACTCGCTCTGTAACCCAGGCTGGAGTGCAGTGGCGTGATCTCGGCTCACTGCAACCTCTGCCTCCCGGGTTCAAGCAATTCTCCTGCCTCAGCCTTCTGAGTAGCTGGGATTACAGGCATGTGCCACCAAGCCCAACTAATTCTTGTATTTTTAGTAGAGATGGGGTTTCACTATGTTGGTCAGGCTTGTCTCGAACTCCTGACCTAATGATCCGCCCGCCTCGACCTCCCAAAGTGCTGGGATTACAGGTGTGAGCCACCGTGCCTGGCCACCACTTTCTTGTGTGTCTTTCCATAGATACTCTATGACTCATTCTTTTAAATAGCTGTATGTTATTTAATTGTGCATTGTGCATAAGCACCATACTTTCACCATTCCCCTGATAGTGATCATTCAGTTGTTTCTAGCTTGACATTTCTTTGAAATTTCCTCTTCTAATAAAAAAATTACACTCCATTAGACACGTATTTATTTCACGTATTCTTTGTTTTAATTATACTTATTTTAATAGGCAATATATTCACAGGGTTCAAAATTCAGGGAGCACAAGAGGGTAAACATCAAAATATCCCCCTGCCACTGCTAACTCCCAGGTCAACCCATTTCCTTCTGGGCTTGTCAGGTATTTGACTGTTTCTTCACAAATCCATTCCCTGCTCTTTGTCAGCTCTGTTTTCTATTGCAGGAAACTACATTTCCCAGGTTCCTTTGCTTGGTGGCTTCTGGCTAGCTTCAGGCAATGGAGGAAGGGCAGGCACTGGTACAGACTGGAGGGTGCAAGGAAGGCAGAGCCAAGGTATTTCTCTGTCTCCTTATGCTTTACGTAGGGTTTCCCGCAGTTGCTGCAACTTCTTGGCTCCAGCTCCCCTCTGGGCAGCCCCCACCATGATTCTACTACTGCTGAATTGGCCCAGCTTCTGGGATCTGGTAACAACACCTCCTCCCTGTGTTCCTTCATCCGTAAGGCTGGTAGTCATTTCTTGCTATTAATAACTTTAAGGTTAATTCATAATCTTCTATTTGGTGTCCTAACTCTTTATCACCTGTGTAGCCAGTTTCTTCTATTAATTTCCCTCTGAACGAAATACTATTATCTGTTTCTTGTGTGTGTCTTTCCAGAATATTTTATGCATATAGAAGTAAATTATATCTGTTCTCTCCCTTCTATTTTTTTTCATAAATGATAACATATTTTATACCCTATCCAACCCTTTGCTTTTTCATTTAGCAATAATCCTGGTGTTCTATATACGATTCTAAAGATTCTCTCCATTCCTTTTATTTTTTATTTTTTTGATATGGAGTCTCACTCTGTTGCCCAGGCTGGAGTGTGATGGCACGATCTCAGCTCACTGCAACCTCTGCCTCCTGGGTTCAAGCAATTCTCCAGCCTCAGCCTCCTGAGTAGCTGGGATTACAGTCACCCGCCATCATGCTTGGCTAATTTTTGTATTTTTGTAGAGACGGGGTTTCACTATGTTGGCCAGGCTGGTCTTGAACTCTTGGCCTCAGGTGATCTGCCCGCCTTGGCCTCCCAAAGTGCTGGGATTACAGGCATGAGCCACCGTGCCTGGCCGCTTTCTATTCCTTTTAATCCAACAAGGAGATGTACTGCAATTAAATTGTTGGAACACAATCATGCTTATTTGTTTATGTATTGTTTACAGCTGACTGCTTTCATATTGTGAGTTTTGTCCAATTCTTTGTTCGAGAAGCCAAGAACCTGGACACCTTCTACTGATAACGATACCAGTCCCTTATTGATGGATATTAGGTTACTTAAGCTTTCCTGCTATTACAAACAGTTCTGTGAATAATCTTGAATTATACCATATCATGAACTTTGGAAAAAATTGTAGAATTAGAATTGCTGGGTCAGTGGATATGTGTGTTTAAAAACCTTTTTTTTTTGTTTTTTGTTTTTGTTTTTGTTTTTGAGACAGGGTCTCTCTCTGTCACCCAGGCTGGAGTGCAGTGGCATGACCATAACTCACTGCAGCTTCTAACTCCTGGGCTCAAGTGATCCTCCAGCTTCTGCCTCCCAAGTAGCTAGGTGTACAGGCATGCACCACCATGCCCAGCTACTTTTTTTTTTTTTTTTTTTTGTAGAGACGAGGTTTAGCTGTGCTGCCCAGGCTACTCTTGAACTCTTGGGCTCAAGCGATCCTCTCACCCCAGCTTCCCAAAGGGATTATAGACGTGAGCTTCCTCACCTGGCCTTGAAACTTATTTTTTTTGGATACAGGGTCTCTCGCTATCACCCAGGTTGGAGTGCAGTAGCGTGATCATAACTCACTGCAGCCTCTAACTCCTGGGCTTAAGCGTTCCTCCTACCTCAGCCTCCTGAGTAGCTGGGACTACAGGTGAGCACCACCACGCCAAGCTAATTTTTTGTATATTTAGTAGAGAAGGGGTTTCACCAGGTTGCCCAGGCTGGTCTCCAACTCCTGGGCTGAAGTGATCTTTTGATTTTATTTTGTATATGAGAACATGGTCAAAGTCGTTACTCATAAACAGCACAATTTTACATTATCAAATGTGTTTTAAAAAGTAGGTATTTTGAAAGTCTTTGATGTATACAAGCAAGTGAAGACAAAAGGGCAGGCCTCTATAATTACCTTGAATTTTTTAAAAAGTTCAGGTACTACTAGGTTAGCAAAATTCGAGAGCTCTGTCGGGTTTTCTTGATTGTGAATTGGCACAGTAATTATCCACTGAAGATGACCAATTTGCCTACGATTAAAAAAAAAAATCTCTGAGCATTCAAAATCTACTACAACTCTCTGTTCTGGGAATAATGTGAGGTTTGCATAGAGGGAGTATGCCAGTGAAGGCTTGAAAATAGGTTCTAAAAATGCTAAGGGCACAAGTTAGTTTGACTTTAAAAGCACCTTAACATTTTATTACTGAAAGGTTTACATTATCTTGCCTGTTCAAGGAATTGAATGGACCAGCCCAAGAATTGCCTATTACTGCCAGTTAAAATGTGAACCTTGGGGTCAGTGTAATTTCTGGAAATAAAATAAGTATGAGAAAGAGTACAGTTACTGACCATTATTCCTGGTGCCATGCTTGGCAAACTTTTTCTGTAGAGGGGCAGACAGCATATATTTTAGGTGTTATGGACCATGCAGTCTCTGTCATTACTACTCAACTCTGCTGTTTAAATGCTAAAGCAGCCATAGACAATAGTTGGATGAATGAGCGTGGCTGTGCTCCAATAAAACTGTCTACAGAAAGGGCGAGTAGCAAGATTTTGCCACAGGGTCCCAGTTTACCCACTCATTTCCTGGAGGAAAATTAGAGTCCTTGCAGTGTACCATCACCTCAAGCCGTGGAGTACTTGGTGACCTTTGGTGCTCTGGTTCTCTTTGACCTGAGCGGAGTTCTTTCCCATGAGACCCGTGCGATATCTAAAATGACTTTCCCTGATGACACCCTGGATATACAATTTCCTTAGCTTACATGTCATTTGGATGAGAGTAAGTGCATAGGGAATGTTGCTATGATGTCCTTCCACAAATCTGGGGATCTGTGGAGAGAATGTTATTTATGACAGAGCATTAGAGGGAGAACAAGAGCAACAAAATCAGAGATCTCTGGTGTCATTGTGGTGGATTGTTTGTAAAGATGGCTGCTAACAATCCCACCCATCCCGCTATGTGCCTCAGGCACTTCCCATCAAGTAGTGAGGTCTATTTATCTCCCCTTAAAAATGGGCTGACCTTAGGACTTGTTTTGGCCAATGGAATATGGCAGAAGTGATGAAACCGTCTTTGCAAAATTGTGACTGAGACAGTGAAATAGATCTAACTTAACTCCATCTTGCTTCTTAGCTCCAAGCTTGCTTCTTAGCTCCAAGTTGCTTCTTAGCTCCAAGCAGTCCTTATTCATTCCTGGGCATAGGCTGAACTAACTTTGGGAGAAGCTTAGTTATGGTTTACAGTTTAAAACAAAGACGATAGGCTGGGCGCGGTGGCTCATGCCTGTAATCCCAGCACTTTGGGAGGCCAAGGTGGGCAAATCACGAGGTCAGGAGTTCAAGACCAGCCTGGCCAAGATGGTGAAACCCTGTCTCTACTAAAAAAAAAATACAAAGAAGTTAGCCGGGCATGGTGGTGGGCACCTGTAATCCCAGCTACTGGGGAGGCTGAGGTAGATAATTGCTTGAACCTGGGAGGCGGAGATTGCAGTGAGCCGAGGTAGCGCCATTGCACTCCAGCCTGGGCGACAGAGTGAGACTCTGTCTCAAAAATAAACAAATAAATAAATAAAAATAAAACAAAAACAATAACAGCCCTTTCCCAAAGCAGACCTCCTTCTTGCCTGGGGACTAGATTGCCTTTGTAGGACTAACATTAGCCATAAGATTGGAAATTATGGTTTAGGAGTCATGCAGCTGGGGGCTACAAGATTCTGACCCTCCCTGAACTGCTCCTAAGATAAGTGCTTGAGATATTTTGCAGACCCTGCATTTGATGGATCAGCTGGCACCACCCAGACTGATAAAGTGGCTCATCTGATCTTGTGGCCCCACCAAGGAACTGACTCAGCACAAGAAGACAGCTTTGACTCCCTGTGATTTCATCCTTGACCAGTCAGCACTCCTAGCTCACTGGCTTCCTTCCACTCACCAAGTTGTCCTTAAAAACTCTGCTCCCCGAATGCTCCGGGAGAGTGACTTGAGTAATAATAAAACTCCGGTCTCAGCCAGGTGTGGTGGCTCATGCCTGTAATCCCAGCACTTTGGGAGGCTAAGGTGGGTGGATCATGAGGTCAGGAGTTCGAGACCAGCCTGGCCAACATGGGGAAACCCCATCTCTACTAAAAATACAAAAATTAGCTGAGCGTGGTGGTATGCACCTGTAATCCCAGCTACTCAGGAGCCTGAGGCAGGAGAATTGCTGGAACCCGGGAGGCAGAGATTGCAGTGAGCTGAGATTGCGCCATTGCACTCCAGCCTGGACAACAGATCGAGACTCCGTCTCAAAAAAAAAAAAAAAAAATAACTCCAGTCTCCTGCACAGCCAGCTGGGCGTGAATTACTCTTTTCTCTACTGCAATTCCCCTGTCTTGATAAATCAGCTCTGTCTAGGCAGTGAGGAAGGTGAACCCCTTGGGCGGTTACAGTGATGCGGTACCAATTCCAAGCCTAGACCTGAAGAAACTTGGCACCTTCAGCTGTCACCCTCTTAGAAGCCAGCTGTTACATAAAGACGCTTGGGCTAGACTTCTGAATGATGCGCAATCACATGGAAGAAGAGAGAGAGGTCAGATAGAGAAGAGCTTAGGTGTCCAGTCACTGCTACCACCCAGGCTGAGGCACCAGACATGACTGGGGCCATTTTGGATGTTCCAGCTTTAGCCAGGCTCCCAATTCAGTGTAGCCATATGACTGACCCCAGATAACATCACATGGAGCAGAGACATGTCATCCCTGCCAATCTCTAGCCAAAATGCAGAACTGTGAACAAATAAATGGTTGTTTTAAGCCACTAATTTGGGGGATGGTTTGAACAATAGTTTCCATGACCCAGTAGCAGGGTACCCATGTTGGGGATCTTCTGGCTTGAAGCTCTCCTGACACTTGATTTTCTGCCCTTTACAGCATCCATAATTAGCAACTCCTTAATCTGGCCTCCAAGGCTCTCCATTGCCTTGACTTTTACTTACCTTGCCATCGTCATTTCTGCATGCTCCACTGCAGGAAGTTTTCCTTCTAGAGAAGCAGTACAGCATAGACGGTAGGAGCAATGACTCTGGAGACAGACTGCCTATCATTAGCTGTGTGATCTT